CCATTATAGCCATTCATAACAGCTGTTGTAATGTTGATAAGATTAGAGTCGCAGGTGTTTATCAAGAATTCCTATTCACAGTATATTTTGTTTATAGGCTAGATAGCTAATTATTTACAAGTCACACACGTGCAAGAAATCGTTAATGATTCAGTTATCGTCCTAAAGATAATATTCGATAGTATCAAAAGTTACTTCCCTGGCCAGCTTTTGATTTAGCAACCTTCGCGATAAACGGTTTCGATAAGGACACGAACGCGGTGCCGCGTGATATTATTAATTTATTGTTCCGTTTATCGGGAAAACACTTGAATTTTGAGTGGCTATTTTAGCTCAAGATCATGTATTTTCTGTAGGATTTTCCAAGAATATTCTAGGTGAAGGCTGTACCACTTCACCAAGGCCTCTTTAATGAGTTCATGAACATTTTCCTAGTTAAATCCAAGAAAATTTGTTGTAACGAAGCATTTTCCGGAAAACTTGCCGAGAGCACACATAATAAAAACTTGTTCGTCGAATTTGTATGTAAATACGACCAATTAGGAATGCCACAAGGTTGAAATGTTAGAATCTCTTTGTTTATAAACAGGTAGTTAAATGCGATTTTATATAACTTAGCCACATAGTTTAAATAGCTAGGAAAATGGCATGTAAATATGAATTGGGTCTAAAGGTAAAAAAATATCACTAAAATATTGTTATTTGTAACGAGTGGGAAAAATGTACGTTACACGTGTATCGCGAAATAATAATATACACGTAAGTATGCTGTTCAACGTGGCCGTAGCCGAAGAACTCATGATGAAACCAACTGTCGTCAAATGTTGACATAGCCAGCCAAGTTATGTAAGGAGCTGTAATAAGAAGGATGTCGTAATTTTGACCAAGGGTTGTTAGTTCAGCAGTTTAATGGACGTTCAACTAGTTAGTTTCCACTGTGGATTATGTAACGGGTTGTGTTATGGTTACGTCTCTACTTCATCCTTGTGTCCTCATTGTACATGAGCTATGTAGTACCGGTTTTGTAGACACAATTATAGAACAATAAGTTGCGGTCACCGGTGACCGCTTGGTGTTTGACAGTTTAAAGAATCGTTTGTTCTTCGGTTTGGAAATTCAAACTATGCCTAGGAACAAAATTAAATGTGTTATTATTTCAGGTAAACTTGACAAGGGTGGATTTAGGTGTAAAATTAGACGAAATCAGTATGTATCTCTTAGCTGTAGAAGCGAAAATAGACGACATGTTTAACAATTTTATTTTATCGCTTTAAAAATAGGTACCTTAAATGCCTGAATAATGTTCCAAGTATCTGTCTACACGATAGGTAGAAGTTTTATTTACATTTTGTTATCAGGCGGGGTTCGCCTCGCGTCCGTCCGACACGGATTACTCAATGACCGTGCTAGTCTGCTCCAAATCATAGTAAGCTAATGAGATTATTACATTTTAAAACTGATGACACCCTTCTAGCTTATTCGACTGGCTAAACAGGTTGTGTGAATTAATTACACTACATTAACGTAGGTTATATTTAGTCCATCAACCAATTCCGAATTTCCGCAGCAACATTTTAGACTCGCGTCACTAATTCGTTAAATTACATTTTTATCTATAATTTTGTCATTTGTAGAATTTATTACTTGATAATAATCGATGCAAATTTTATAATTGCGATTACATAATTGTAAAAAAGAGACAGAATTGGAAGCACCAAATATGAAAAATAGGTTAATGTGGTAGCTGTGGGCGGGGGTAGTCGACCTATAGGCTATTGGCCGTTCGATACTAATGTAAATATTATTTGTAAGCTATTAGGGTCTTTGTACGTTTCAACCAGACTAAATATTTATTATTACAATGCATTTTTAATTCGTAAAATGCTTCCTTCTGTTAAGAATCGATTCTAAGAAATATTTCTGTCGAGGAAAACACCTGTGGCATGATCACATTCGAAATCTTTTAATGAAATCATTACTAAAACGAAATCCGTGTTATTGTGACTTCGTATAAAGTTCATAGCTATCTGTAATGCTCAATCGTTGGGCCTGTCTAGTTAATTTGTAATCTATCAACTTTTGATAAGAACTTATCAGCAGATGCTCATTAATACTTCCTTGAATAAGTAGACTCTGAGTTCTGGCTTTGTTAATAGCAATTTACTTTGTGAAACAAATCAAGTAATAAACTTGGCACTTAACTCGTCGAGTACCGGTTTTGTAGACACAATTATAGAACAATAGGTTGCGGTCACCGGTGACCGCTTGGTGTTTGACAGTTTAAACTCGAATTTTTTAAACACGCTTAGTAAGCAATCAATAGGAGCCCTGGGATGTTTAATAACGTTATTGAAGAAAAGTACGGTAGAAGCAGCCTATATTACTTATTTAGAAATATCAGTAATGATAATGTCATACGATATGAAATGTTACTATAGGTACTGAGTTCTGAGAACAATAGAGGCTTTCACGAAGTTCCACCGAATATCACATTATGTTTTCCGTTTGTATGTTCCATTTGGGACGCATGTGTACCGATCATAACATATTGGATTCGGGTCGACGACCTCGGCCATATTTTGTCAGTAAAAACAATGAGAAAGTTCTTTGCTATAAAAGTACAGTAAAAAGTTGCCAGTCAATTGGAAATAATTGTTCGAACGGCTTTGTTTCCTCGAGTGGAAATTATATTGATCTTGCGAAGTTAAAACGTGTGAAGGAATCACCCTCCTCTTTGTATTTTTATTCTAAGTGTATTTTATATTTTAACACTCTCCATTAAGTATGTTTGTACTTTCAAAGGGATAGTTAGTTTCCAAAACCGTAGTACCTACCTAATTACTCGATGTCCACTCGCAATGCTACCTTGTTTCTATTAGGTAAAAATACTAACTAAGGAAAATTATTGTTATAGGGTATTTGCATACAAATTAAACCAGAGCTTCTATTAAAAGCCTGATGACATACAACATGGACATAATTAAAACCGCAATAAATTCATGCAGTTACGAGTTATTTCGCTCTTTTCATAAAATCTCAAATTGGATCCTTTTAAAAATATGGATGAAACGAAGAGGATTACGTTTTGACAGCGAGTATAAAGCCGTGGAAACCGAGTTTTAATTAACAGAGCTATAGCTTGCGAATAGTCCCAAACAGTTACGTCACGGCCGCCTCGTGGCGGTGTGGCATATTATACATTTGTTTTATGCAATATGTGCAATGTACACACGAATCAAATGTTGAAACTACTACATCAGAAGTTCATACACATACTACATTTGGTCTAGCTAGTCGTTTCAAATGTCACTGATTATTATTGTGATAATTTCATTTATCGAAATGTCCCCCCTCACTTTATCCTTCTAAGAATACAAGTTCGATATAATGCTATTTACCTATGTAACATTGTTTAGGACAACGATAGTCCTAGCACACACCATTTTGAATGAAATTGACGCATGTTCACAACTTCACAGTTACGTAATATTTGTCTTTCTCGTTCATCACACTAGGTTTGTTATTTTTCTATTACTTGCCAGACTAAAAGACCATTCTAAATGCTAATTGAGGTCCGAGCGGAAATAATATTGATCGTGCCTACAAAACTCTATTCATGTCGTGTGTCAATTTAGCGTTTCTTATAAAATAATGATAGAAGTTTTACACTAAAGCGTAATTAAAATCAAATCACAATTTAATATCACACGATAAAAAATATCTAGATTACCGTAATTAAAATAAATGTAGGCCATCTTATCATGCCGCAGTCTGCGAATTTCTTCGAAACTTTATTCTTGACAATCAAATGATTCATGAGATGTTGAAAGCTTCCAGACTTGTGCGATAACCTTAAAGTCACGGTTAATTAGTGGAGTTATATGTTTAGATTGACTACCAGCAAACAATGAATGTTCTTTGATCATGTATGGGTTGATAACAGCCAGAGAATCGATTCAACGTATTAATGCATGACGCTGGTCCCTTTTGTTTTGTGGTCGTTGGTTCATTACCTCCCCAAGCATACTCTATTATTAATGACGTATGTCGGAACTGAGTGGCACGTGCCTGTCAATTATGCCTTAACGATAGAATTATTGAAGAAAATCCATCAGAAATGAAGTCAATCCGGATATTTAAAACACATTGAACTTCTAAATGGCTCATTGAACTGCAATGACTTTCAACAGAATTGGAATGTGAAGGACATTTTGAAGGGTCTGTGTTTATTCTGATTATGCTCGTCCTAATGCGATGCTGGATAAAAGGTCAGCTTATCTAACGATGTTCTTTAATTAACCCTAAATGAAAACTTTACACTAGTTTTCATTTAGTATTTTTGATTGAGAAGTTACTAAGGGTGAGTCGAGTGAAGTGACCTTTAAAAGACTCCGCCCAGCCAGTTAGTGGCACGGGTGTAGAGTTCGACACCCGCCTTCCTTTGTGAACGATACGATAACACTCACGAACGTACATTTATTTATATTGCTTGACATTTTCAAAAATATTTTTCTACGTTTTACTAAAATTACATGTTATTCAGTATACTAACACGAGTTGTCAATGCCTCTATTCAAACGAAATATCCTGTCAAAGGGTTGACCATGATGCTAATGCTATGCTAAATATTTTGCGAGCTTATCTTTTATTGTTGCCTAAATGCACTACCAATACTTTAATTAATTCTCATGACCGTTGTTTACAATAGTAAATGAATAACAGTCGGAATAATCGAAATAAAATTCTAATTAGTACCTAAATGTTATTAAAATTCAGTATCAAAATTTTTATCAATAAGCTCATTATTCTGCATTAGTTATGTAGGTTTACAACCCAACTTTATAATATTTGGTTAGGTCTGATTAGTCAACATTTCTTATTTGAGCAGTCATGTAATTTATTGAAGATGAGATGAATCGAATGTTAGGGCAACTCTCGAGTCCAAACAATGGTTATGTCTGAGTAGATATTTTATGTTATATTATTTTGTTTGTTTGCAGACGATCATGAAGAAGTACTGCCCGTCTATCGCAGCCGGCGGTGTCTCCTGCTGCAGTGACGAGCAGATGGACAACTTGGCTTCAAAGATCATGCCCGCAGAGAATCTCTTACAAAGATGTCCGTCTTGTTTCGAGAACTTTGTCCAACACATATGTGGCATGACTTGCTCGCCGAATCAAAGCGACTTTCTGTATCCCGCTGAAGTTGTTCCGTTCAATGGTGAGTTTCTTGATGACCAAAATATCCTTAAACAGGCCATAAAGAGATCTTCTTCCATTCTTTGCATCCGACACAAAAATATACTACGAGATTCTTTGACATGGTTCTAAATAGTTAATGTATTTGTTTTCAGCGACCCACCAGAAAATCACCACAATCACCTACGACCTTAGCGCTAAATACATGAACACCACGTTTGAATCCTGTCTACAGGTAAAGTATCATTTTATTTGATGTGAATATTTTATTACTAGGCACTTAATCTTTCATAACCTACTAATTATGGTCACTGTGTCAATTATATACTGTCTATAGCTTAACGATAATAGTTGCTAAGTAAATGTACTAGGTATATTTCTTAATCATTCAATTTTATTTGATTAATCTATATAATCATTGATACTTTTAATGTACATTCCCTCCTGAATAAACGATATTATGATTCATTGATATAATTCACCAATACTAAAAAGAGGCATTAATTCTGTAAAGTATGTTATCTTCTAGTTTAGCGTGTAACAATAATGGCACTTGTTTTCTTATGAACACCTGCATACATTTAGATTTATGATTATTTCTATATTATATACTTACGTATGTATGACTCAGACCTGCATACAACGAAATGACGAAATATCGTCTCACGTTGATACAAACAGTCGAAATGTGTCGCCTTTCTACAGAAATGTATGATGTTATCTATTATAAATAATAATTGATATGCTGTCGATTGTTCGTCGGAACTGCGGGTTTTCCATGCTATTAATTGATTCATTTATATTATAGTGATCTACATTTTAAAGTTAGGTACCTATTTATTGTATTAAATGTCTACCTACGCTTACGTTAACAGTTTTAGAAGTACGTACAATTACTGTAGGTAGGTGTCTATACGAGATTTCTGTATTTTACGAATTAAATCGCGAAAAAATCTATTTTCGACATATATAGAAATTAAGAGTTTATCTAAACTCAATACCAATTCTGTTTGCGTAAAAGAAAATGCGTTTTAAAAGTAAAACGTGATCAATAAAACTTCAGTAAATATTTTCTCAGTCTGATAAGTTCGCTATTGTTCTTCAGACTTCACTTGTTCATAAACTGTATTTACAAACAGGTGCAAGCGCCGTCAACCAATCAACTGGCTTTGGACCTTATGTGCGGGGAGTATGGTGCAGAATACTGTACGCCAGAGCGGTGGTTCAAGTTTATGGGAGACGTGGCGAATTTTGCGCCCTTCCAGATTAACTACGTGAATGATCCAGTGCCAGAACATGGATTGATGCCCTACGATCCCGTCACAAGACCCTGTAATGAAGGAGCACCCGTAAGTTGTTTTATTTTGAGTAGTGAATGAATGTTCGCGTTTTATATGTCTCCCTTTTCTTTATTTATTGTCACTATTTAGCCTTAATATCCCATGAGATGTGTTATTGAATTCTCTCAAGATAAAATATTTCAATAGTATAGATATTTCATTAAGGAATAAATATAGGTAAATTTTCATTCACAAATTCAAGTACATTCACAATCCCTATCATCTGATTGATGAAAAAACCTACCAAGTTAATGATACCTAAATACTGAGAACGAAACATTCGAGTTGCTCAATCATTCAGTTTATTTGCAGATAGTAATAATTTCCCCTCGTATGACTGTATTAGTAATAAATAATCATCTTTATCTATACGCAGCTAAGATTAATTTTTGACGCGCGTGCGATGAGAGATATAAGCATACAGGCCTTTGATTCCCTATCGGCTTAGCTATGCGATTCATAACTTTAAAAAAACTGATAATATAGATACCGTTTCATGTGAATGACTAATTTTTATCAATGGCAAAATCTATGAATCGAATATTGTATGTGTCTGAATGAAAAGAGGAATATGTTGATGGGTAATATACTGTTGAGGTTTAGTAAGAAAATCATAGAAGAGATATCTTTCATAAGACACTAGAGTTTATCGTAAAAAAACTTCAATGCAAAATGTAGAGAGCATTCATTTAGTAAAGTAATTAAAGTATTATCAGACGTTTCGATATTGGAATTTAAATTATTGTAACAATGAATCTTGGACTGAAACTAATTTGCTTAAGAAATGAGATTCATAAATTAATGAAAACTGGGTGTAGATTCATTAAGAAGAAATAAAAAAATGTGCTACGTTTAGAACAAACACTCACGTACATTTCTTTGTTATACATCTCTAAATAACCATATTCATATACAGGGTCAACCCGGCTGTTCATGCCTGGACTGCAGTGCCTCATGTCCCGCTCCCCCACCGCCCCCACCTCCAATGGTTCCCTTCACCATCCTCGGAGCTGACGGGTATGCCGTCATCATGGCTATCGTCTTCGTCATCTTCACAACCCTGTTCCTCTCAGGAGTATTCTGCTGCACTCCCCAAGACAACGCTGTCGGTGAGTACAAAATAATAATTTTGAATCCTAACCAAATTAAATCTAGAAACTTCTTTGATGTTTTAAGTGTTTGGAGTCAAATCCAGTCAAGCAAGTTCAAAAAAGTGTATTTTTAGTAGATAATAATGACGTTTGTCAATAAAAAACTAGCTAAGTCAATTAATAAATTAAAAATTCAAAGTGTAATCTCAACTCCAGACGTTTAAATGTCATACGTATTAATTACAGTCGAAACAAAATTACTTTATAAAACTATTTTACCTATAATTGAGATTTAGGTTAGGTATATACAAACACACCATTTAATTCTCCATTGTTTGAACACGGTACAAGTATTCACCTACTTTACCTCTGTTCTATTCAATACATAACATTTATTGTCAATAGTTTTTACTTCACAAATACAAACACTTAGACTGTTATTTATTTGTTTATGATATATTTATTTATACATATTCTTTTCTTATGTATATCACTCTTAAATACCTAGTATAATGATTATCTGTAGATACTATTCTGGAATGTTCTACATCTTTGTGGCAATACTAATAATACTTCTAATATTCCGAACTAATTAACCTACTTACTATTTAACGTGACATGTTCGTAGAATTAATGTCTGTAAGCTGTTATTAAGATGTTCTGGGTAAAAAATGAACCTAAATAGTTTTATCGGTTAGTCTAAGAGTAATTTATTATCATTGAAGAGATTCATGGTCGATGTCAATCTTGAACTACAGTCAAACAATGTTGTAATAACACTTCCATTCAACTGACTAATTCAATGTAAATAAAACAATTATGTTATATCACACTTACATATTTTTACATCATCAGTTTACATTTCATATCTTCTAACCTAATAAGAGAATACCTAATTTCAAATGACAATTGGTGTATGTATTCAATTCTACTATTGTCAACAATCCTATTGTTTTAATTGCACTATTTACTCTGACACAAAATTTCGTACAATCGCTGTATTTTATAAACAATAAATTGACATTGACCATGGCTGCCTCAAGATATATTTTGTCAGAATAACCTTATATTTATGATGTCATAACTAATAAAAACTGGTCGTGGAAACGTTTATACTATGAACTGTGTACCTTTGAATGATACAACTAGAATATTGCCCTCGACTACCTTACTGACGAAACGACTATAAACTGTTAAATTGATACCGGCTTTTCCGGTTATGAGAAATAATATTTTGCAGATAATTAAATGAAAATACCAGCCGTTTTGATGCGATGTGTAATTGCAACATAATCCTGGTTTCCTTTATTAATGTAAATCAACGGTCAATACTATTAGGTATATGCAAAAAATAGGACTATAAGTGGTGAGTTACAGATCTTTACCTACTAATCATCATGAAACATAGGCCCTGGATCAATAATTTTTCCATTTAACGGATATGTAGGGTGCTGGTAGTAGTTAGTCAGTAAGGTAGCGCGGGTCTGTTGGGTCGTGGTGACGTAACGTTGGGTGGTGTTGGGACAGACGGGTGGGCGCGCAGCGGCGAGGCGCGGCGACGCGGCGGCCCAGAGACCAGTCCGCTGCACTCGCACCGCTCCAGTACGTACCGCACCCTAGCACGTGCCACCAAACACCAACATCCACATTTACCTGTTCTATGCACTCGCCTGCTCACGATTAATGACAAACGATTGCACTATAACCATTTCTATCTGCAAATAAATACGTTTACATTACATTGAGTGCAATGGAAAGTTTGCGCTTGCTGTGTGAAGTTTGCGCTTACTGTGTGAAGTTTGCACTTGCTGTGTGAAGTTTGCGCTTACTGTGCGAAGTTTGCGCATTTAGCGCAACTGTTTGCCGATGAAAACTCTTTTTTGTCGTAATTGTAAAATCTTTATGCAAAAGTCCGATACAATCGTCTGTCATTAAGAAATAGCATAAAAACAATGACGACGTACTCACTGTGACGCTATTAAGATTTGGTTTATTAGCTCATTGTTTTCTTTTAAATAATGTCATATAGTTTTGATACACACAGTAGCGTATTCATTGTTTAAGCCTTGTATTAGTGTACACAAAATCACGCTTTGGAGAGTTTTGTAGCCCTTTCCATACGCATGTAGTACGAATGCTTTGTAGTAAGAGTTTACTTATCCTGGTAACATGTAACCACACCCTTATTATTCTAAGAAAATATTACTATAGTCCGTAAAATCGTTCTTATGCCAGTTTGGTCTAGTACTATAGTAATTTCACTGCCATGTAACTATTGCAGTGCAGCATACAAAAATCAACCCATCTAGTTTAAATGATGATATTACCCTGCACAACTATTGTAACAACAATGTATATCGGTTTTCTCAAGTCGGGCATGTTTCGATGTTCATCCTGCACTTTGATTGGTCATCCCAATACCCAGTACTGGTTCAAAATTGAACATTACCTATTTCATTTGCATGTACTTGAGACATTCGATACGTTGCTTAGTAGTAATGCTTACCCTCCACCACATTGACAGGGGAGTAACTAATTTATCCTTCAATATTTCTACTTTATTGTGAAAATTGTGATGTTATTCGAAAGATACGATGAAAACTAAAATTGTAAATTTTTGTTTTCGCTAGGAATATTTTTAAATATACTTTTCTTGTCACCATAATTTATAAAGTTCTTCTACTTTAAGATTTTAATTTTATATTTTATTCTTATTTAATATTAGGGAATCTGCATGCTATATTTGTTTCCTGTTTCTTATTACACACATAATTTTATGTCATTCGTTTATGTATTTGTATGTACGTATTGTCCTTTTTATACACAAGTCGTTTTGTCTTTGTAATCGTAGGTAATGGTAACCGTTGTGTTTGTTCAAATAGTTTGTGAAGTTTTTAATGTTTGACAAAAGTCTATGCATGGGGTTTTTACTAACAGGGGTTATATAAGAGCAACAATTTGGAAATATTATTTAATTGTGTTGTTATTTTGTTTGTACATACACCCCCTATTATATGGGTTTTTAACATAACTGGCGAAATCGGCCATGTAAAATGTACACCTTTACCTTTTTCCTCGTGAGGAATAAAAGACGTTTTGCCATTGACAAAAGAAATGAGATTTATTATTGGATAATTAAAATTTTTCATGCATGGACTTTATTATTGTTCAATGTTTTATTGCAATAAGATAAAGCCCTATACACTTGCGGTCGATAAAATGAAAAATCGATTACTTTATTGCTGCCATAATGATGTTATAACTTTACAATAGAAGATTAAACGAAACGTTAGTCACGGGCTATATCTTATTGCTATACTAAAAGACGTGTTAATAATGATTTATTTCTAAACAAAATAGGTGTGGCTTCAGAGAACAATCAGGAGATGGCAACGAACCCTAGGACTCTTGGTTGGTCTGCTGACCAGCCTGATGGTGTGGAAGGAGAAGCGTCGTTCTTTGAGAAGCTTGGAGCGGAGACTGAGACTAAGATGGAGGACTTCTTCCAATGGTGGGGATACCACATGGCGTCCCGTCCTTGGCTTGTTCTCTTTGTGGGTGAGTAATCCACATACACACAATATTATTGTAAAAATAGAGCAGAAAGCCCTTAAATAACATTTCAGTTAAAATCTTCTATCAAGCGCAACATGCGCAATCTTTTGCGCAAAGCGTAACAATAAACGCATAGTAATATTAGTCTCTATTAATACATTATGTTATATAATTTAATGCATTTTTGTTATTCTCCAGGTCTATGTATAGTGGTGGGTCTTGGCCACGGTATCAGCTACATGCGTGTGACGACCAACCCAGTGGAGCTCTGGGCTGCGCCTAACTCACGTTCCCGTATGGAGCGAGAATACTTCGACTCGCACTTTGAACCGTTCTACAGGTACGATATTCTTAGTTTTTTTGTATTACGTTTGGACGTTTCGTGGCTCATTATATAATATCAATGATGATGAGAAAAGTGTCAAAAGCTAAATGAAATGTATCTTCCTCAGAAACGAGATGTTGATCATCACCTCAAAAGGCCTGCCTAAAATTGAGCACAACACACCAAACGGTGACATCACCTTCGGACCTGTCTTCAACGCCACCTTCCTTAAAGACGTGCTGGAATTACAGAACAAAATCATGGGTAAGATATAAAGCGTAATAAATAATATAATTTTTATATTCTCCCGTATCAGACACCATTCTAGCAGTTATTTTTTTTTTCTTTCGTATCATTCTTGATAATGATTACCCATTGTTTATTTGGTCGTTTTCTTTTCTTTCGATCCATACACATTTGAACACACTCTTGGTTTACCAAAAGCATATATCGATCTCAAATTTAACTCGTTGAGTACCGTCATTATAGACACAATTAAAGAACAATAGGTTGCGGTCACCGGTGACCGCGCGGTGTTTCACAGTTTAAATAAATATGAAATAATGTTTTGCAGCTCTGGGCAACGAGACAGGTATCCAGGACATTTGCTTCGCTCCGCTGACGTCATCGTTCAGTGGTCCCATCAAACCGTACGACTGTGTGGTGCAGTCTATCTGGGGATGGTGGCAGAACGATATCAGCAACTTTGAAGCTGAAGAAGAGGACGGAGAATATCTTAACACTATTCTCAAGTGCTCTGGGTAAGGGTTACATTTCTATTTAATTATTTATCGTTAAAGAAATACCTTTTATAGTAAGTTAACTTTATAAAAGGATTGACTGATGAACAACTTCTATGTTTAAAAGTTTCAAAAGCGCCTAAAGCGTTTGGCTAAAATAAATCGTTTGGTTTTGAGTATAAACTAATGCCAAAATTGATTTTTACCAGTAATCCATTCCTGCCGGAATGCCTGGGTTCGTACCGCGGCCCAGTGCTGCCCGCAGTAGCGCTGGGCGGGTTCCTGGCGCCGGGCGAGGCTCTCAGCAAGAGGAGCAGGTTCCACGACGCCACCGCACTCATCATCACGCTACTCGTTAACAACAAACACGACAGGGAACAGGTATACAACTCTATACAAAAAATCTTAATACTTGTAATTTAAAATCAGTTTCCCACTCTAATCATAACTTTCTCATGATACAAAATACGATGTTTTGAGATAGCAAGTAGCTATAGCGTTACACCTACATCAACATTTACTATAAAATCTAACTATATAAATAGTATCGTGTACGTACCATAATTAAGGATCCCGTTGCGCTCGAAATTAGTCGGGTATCTCTGAAATATAATGTCTAGTAGGCCGTATAATTATACACTTTTTAATTAAATAAATTCATGTATTCCTACTGTTACTTATAATTCGTTTCAATAATATATTAGTAAGTCTATATTAAACTAACAACTTAACACTGTTACAGGAGGAGCTCATAGTCAACGATTTTATCGATCGGTATTATAAAAAAGAGATGGAAGTCATATTTAAAAACAAAATATTGTACACGGTGTATCCTTCTCACATCCCTTACCGAATCTTCTTACAAGCATATATCTCGATTCATATTAATTTACATAAATATAAAATCGAGATATATGCGGGAAAAACTCGTTATAGGACATTTTTTTATTTTTGGAATGCTTGAGCTCTTTCTTTGTTTTCATTTATTTTTCTTCTCTTTTTCTCTTTCTTAGATATGTTTTATTTTACAAATCTCTATTTTGTGTTACTTGAGTCAAACAATGTCATAATTTATCGTAATTTCCAGTTGAAACCGGCTTTGGAATGGGAGAAAGAATTCATTGCGTTCATGAAGAACTATACTGCGACGCAAATGCCTTCGTACATGGACATTGCGTATACTTCCGAGCGATCTATTGAAGATGAATTGGAGAGAGAGTCACAATCAGACGTGTCCACCATCCTGGTGTCTTACTTCATCATGTTCGCGTATATCGCCATCTCACTTGGAAGGTTCACCGGCTTCTCAAGGCTCCTTATTGATAGCAAAGTCACCTTGGGTCTTGGAGGTTAGTGACTCTTTATAATCAAAATATTTTCAGCTTCTGTTCGTTTATTTTAAATCATCCTTTTTTTCGTATTCAAGCTGGTCATCGTCGTTTTGGTCTTTGTCGCTAAAAATAATGCAATTTATTAAAACCGTCTGTAACTAGAAAACAAAAAAATAGAGATGTTATTTATGATAATTAAAAAAATATATTTTACGATGACTGAATGTTTTACATTACCTCTTTTTACTCCATATCTATTTTTATATCATACTTATTAATATTTAATGACTACTTACCTATTTTCCTCAGGTGTGACAATCGTACTAGCATCAGTAGTATGTTCAGTGGGTATGTTTGGTTTCGCTGGAGTACCAGCGACGCTGATCATCATCGAAGTCATTCCTTTCCTGGTGCTGGCTGTCGGAGTCGATAATATCTTCATCCTGGTGCAAACTAACCAGAGAGAGGGCAGGCGGCCTAACGAAACTGTTGCTGAACATATTGGAAGAACGTAAGTGTTAAATTATTTAATGATTGTTTTTTTACGAATGTGGTCTTTGATTTATCTGCGGAAAGGTGTTAAAACTATTTTTTTGGAAAGAAGTTATAGTCGACATTCCACATGCATTCGTATTTGTCATTTTGTTTTAACAATCGTCAGACGAAAGGTTCCTTTTAGATATTTGTCATAGCATTTCTTTTGTTCTAAATATAACGTGTGAGTGCACGGTTGGCGCGGTGACTGCACAACCGGCTGCCGCGCAACGTTCTGCGGGTTCGATTCCCGCACGGAGCAACTCTTTGTGTCATCCACAGATTGTTGTTTCGGGTCTGGGTGCCATGTGTATGTGAACTTGTATGTTTGTGAACGCACCCACGACACAGTAGAAAATCCTAGTGCGAGGCAATGTTTCTTATTTTAAATGACCCATTCATTTAGACTGTGACCATTATCTGCTCTAATCTAATTCACTACAGATGTGTTTTACAATGTCAGATTTTCTCCTTTTGTGCTAATTGACATCCTTACTAATAATATTATAAATCGGAAAGTGAGTTTGTTTGTTCCGCTTTCACGCCGTAACTACTAAACCGATTGCTTTGAACTTTTGAAGATGTATAGAATAGAAGTCCGGATTAAATAATAGGGTACTTTTTATCCCGGAAAAATTTGATATTCCCGAGGGAAAACAAAAGTATTGGTATAGATGGCGCTGTGTGTAATCGTATATGTCACATTGGCTTTTTATCCGTTTGTGACGCGAGCGAAGCCACGGGTAAAAGCTAGTAATGTAATAAACAAGCGCTAACAATAACGCGTTCTTTCCAGACTCGGTCAAGTAGGTCCATCAATGTTCCTGACCTCAATGTCGGAGTCAGTATGTTTCTTCCTGGGCGCTCTGTCCGACATGCCGGCCGTGCGAGCCTTCGCCCTGTACGCGGGCGCAGCGCTACTGGTCGACTTCTTACTACAAGTTACCTGCTTCGTGGCTTTATTGGCTATTGATACGCATCGGCAGAATGCTAACAGGTATTTACACTTTTTTTAAATAAAATTTAGTTCTATTGTACAACTGTTTATAAAAAAACAATTTTGGTAATTGGTGTTATTTTAGTTATTTTCTGAATATACACAAAACATATTCACATTCAAGTTAATAACCCACCCATTTGCAATTGATTAAAAACATATTTGTCCGTCGAAAATGTGATCAATGTGACATCAAACTCCTAATGGATTTGCCTTTAATAGTTTTTGGGTCGCAATCAAAGGTACAAATAAGGTTTAAAATAAATAATTTGGGATATTTTTCGGTAATAGCACGCATTAAAAAGCACACGGTCCACCTGATGATAAGCGGTTACCTTGGCCTATGTACGCTTGCAACACTTGGGGCATTACATGCGTCTTGCCGACCCTTAAGAAACCTATGCACTCCCCTCTTGAAGAACACCATGTTGTAACCTACTGGGAAAACCACGGCAGGGAGTTCATTCCACAATCGGAGGGTCCATGGGAAAAAATTCGTCTGAAACCGAACTGTAACCATTTGGGCTCTGTTGTGTGAGCGTGAACTATGTCGATAGCGAGAGATGAAAATAACAGATAATGTAGTCATGAACTCTATTACTAGCCCCCATTTGAAGCCACAATGGTGTCGCAGGTTCGACGTGTTGTGCTGCGTGGCGGGCACGAAGGCGGAGGGCGGCGCGGAGGGCGGCGAGGGCGCGCTGTACAACGTGTTCCGCCAGCTCTACGTGCCCTTCCTCATGAAGCGCGAGGTGCGCGCCTCCGTCATGATACTGTTCTTCGCCTGGCTCTGCTCCTCCGTGGCCGTGAGTATACTACGTACTACGACTAATGTCACTAATTTACCTATCAAAAACTGGTATAGAGATTAGTTTGTCCCGTTAGTGTTGTTTTCATTATAAATGTGTTTAGTGAAAACTTCATGTCTTATTTTCTGTAACTCATAAAATTATATCAACGTTGCACTGTCACAAACGTTGATGACTGTGCAATTAAAATGTGATCGCGAGGTCTCTAGTCGACGACGTCGTCTCTACAACACTAATGATGAATTATGAACTATTATCCATAAACATCTGCGGCAATCAATAAATTGGCTTGAGAAATTCATTCATCTTTAACTTGAAATAAATTATCAACTACAGATTCTGATTATGTGCTATCACTATTAGTTTTCTTACTGAAATATGTACTTATTGTATTCTCCAGGTGGCACCTCACATAGAAATCGGTTTAGACCAAGAACTCTCGATGCCTCAAGACAGCTTCCAACTGAAATACTTCCAATATCTAAACCGTTACCTGAACATTGGACCACCAGTATACTTCGTGATCACTGAAGGATTAGACTACTCGGACTTGGAGACACAGAATATGGTATGCGGCACCAGGTTCTGCAGGTCAGACAGTGTCTCTATGCAACTGTATTCTGGTAAGTTACATTATAAGTTATTTTACTATAATTTTAACTCCAAAAACTTTTAAAAGCATGTAAAATACATTATCAAAGTCTTTGATTTATCTGAAACATGGCGTCTACAATAAAAGAAAGTGCAATCTTTCCGATCAACATTTTAACTTGACATTAAATACACAACAAGCTAAATTTTATGTTATAATTCATTTTTCTATTACAGCGTATCGCACTCCAAACGAGACCTACATAGCACAGCCGCCGAACTCCTGGCTGGACGATTTCTTCGACTGGGCGTCTTTGAAGAGTTGCTGCAAGTACTTCCCCACCAACTCTAGCTTCTGTCCTAGCAGCCGTGAGTATTACACACAGATTCATTTAATGACTCCCTATTACTCTACGTTAAGACCGACAAGACAATGAGTCATATCGGTAAACAAAATATTGTATCCTCAGGTGGAACACCCTGCAAGGAATGTCAAATCCAACTACAAGGAAACGAGCAACGTCCCGACGCGGCCGACTTCAACCACTACGTGCCGTTCTTCCTGCAAGACATCCCCGACCCGGACGGCTGCGTGAAGGGCGGCCACGCCGCGTACGGCCAGGCCGTCAACTACCACATGCTCAACAAGTCGCAGGCCAACGTCGGCGCCACCTACTACCAGGGCTACCACACCGTGCTCAAGACGAGCCACGACTACTACTCCGCGCTGAAAGGAGCCAGAGGAGTCGCTGCCAACCTTACTGAGACTTTGAACAGGAACTTGAAAGAACAAGGGAAGAATACAACTGTGAACGTGTTCCCATACTCAGTGTTCTATGTGTTCTATGAACAGTATTTGACTATGTGGCCTGATACACTGAAGTCTATGGGCATATCTGTGCTGTCAATCTTCATTGTAACCTTTTTGCTGATGGGCTTCGATTTGTTCTCGGCTTTGGTAATTTGTTTTTTTAACATTTGTAGTATAATCTATGTTTTTCTTGATAATGTTGGTATTAATTGATTTGTTTGTTTGCAGGTGGTAGTTATTACGATTACAATGATCGTGGTGAATCTCGGAGGTTTGATGTACTGGTGGGGCATCAGTTTGAATGCAGTCTCACTTGTTAATTTGGTAAGTTTTCGTTTACACATTTAATTGAAAGTTTTGAACTTTTGACGTATAAATTTCAATGACAATGTAGAGAGAAAGAAAAATATTTATAATGATATTATTTACTGGTATAACAGTCTCTCTAAATCTAAATTTACTTGACGTTGTTTACTGTAGATTTTAATTTAAAACTGGATTGATGTTTATTTTTAAACTAATGGCCAAAGTCAAACTTAATCCAATGAATCCAATATGTTATAATTTCATTGAGATTTGTCCCCCCCGCAGGTGATGGCGGTGGGTATAGCGGTGGAGTTCTGCTCGCACGTGGTGCACGCGTTCAGCGTGTGTGCGGGCGCGGGGCGCCGCGCGCGCGCCGCCGCCGCGCTCACCCGCATGGGCTCCTCCGTGCTCTCCGGCATCACGCTCACCAAGTTCGGCGGCATCATCGTGCTCGGCACCGCCAAGAGCCAGATATTCCAGGTCTGCCATGCAACTTACTATACTGAAACTATTATTCAGGGCGATTACTTGACGCTTTACGGTTTTTTATAAATCTCTTGGTGGTATGCAAATAGCGCCACCCATGACATTTACATCGACGAACACTAAATAGTGTCCAAATTAGGCTTCCAAGTATATTCCAATTTAGTTTTAACACTTATTGACCCACTTTTAATGACTAATCAAAGTGATTGAAGGACTGTTATAGAAAAATATTACAACTTCAAGCTCGAAAGATCCTGCCATTGTTATCAATTTTGTTATGTTTACCTGTCACTAGCAAAACCTAAATAACTGTAGACAATTCATATAAAACGTGTAGACGTTAGACATTAGCGAGAGTAGTGTCGCTCACTGCTCATGATCATAAACATAAGTCAACGAGCAACCACACTTTGTATTACAATACAAATTCTAACTCCTGCACATTTCCAGGTGTTCTACTTCCGCATGTACCTGGGCATCGTGTTACTGGGCGCGGCGCACGGACTCATCTTCCTGCCCGTCATGCTCAGCTATATCGGTAAGTCATACTTGTTGTGATCTAACTAGGCCTTACACGTTATTACACAGCTCTCTTCAAGATGTTCATTAATTTAAAATGAACAAAGTAGCGTCTTTCATGAGAGTCCTTTCGCATGAAATGAGATTTCAGAAACTATACATTTTTCGAGCGATTAAAAGGTTTTATTCTATTATCGATTTCTGTATATATCTGTTTAAATTTCATCTAGATCAGATAAGCTATTCTGTAAGAAGTCAATTTGAACTCTCGAAGTGAGCTCGATCGCGGTCCGCCATGTTATTGGTTGTGAGAATAACCTCGACCAATGATGGACGAGAATGCGATCGAGCTCACTTCGAGAGATGGAATTGATATCTTACATAATATCTTAGCAGTTCACAGTCATTTCGGTCAATAGACATAAAATGTAATCATCATAATCTTGACGGAGATATACAAAAATCTTGCTACACTTTCTTATTTTTCTCAAGACAAAAATGCACTCTATTTCTTGTTTTCTAAGCGATAATTTTACGTGTCAGGCCTCGTTAACTTTATGTATCGCACCCGCACATGATTTGACATTTATATTTGTATTTTTTTTTTTATATATAAGTTTTTCTATTACGGTCTTGCATGCAATGTCTTTCGATTTTATTTTTATTTTATTACATTATTGTCTATGCACCATTTTATTTGAACTTTCGCTTGTATATTGGACCTTTTTGATAGGTGTTTTAGTTGAAAAAAAAAAATACGTGAATTTGTTTTTTTTTTTGTTTTGTTTTGTTTTTTTTTTCGCCTATACTAACTCATGACGGTTGGTAGTGCCTTACTAACGAAGTGACGCAGGTAAATATATAGAGCTTACAGCTTAAGCTTTTATTAAAGTGTGCATTGTTCTTGGAGCAAAGATATTATGATGTAAAGGTTACAGGTGATGTATTTGTCTTGCATTTACCATATGCTGGTCAATTTCGAGTTGTATAATCTGTCCTGGTTATTTTAAAGTACTTATTGTAGTTGCAGTACTCATTGTACAACTTGAAAATTGAGTTAAGTGTTTGAGTATTATGACGGAATGAGTAGACAAATACATCACCTGTAAGGTGATGTATTTGTCTTGCATTTAACATATGCTGGTCAATTTCGAGTTGTATAATCTGTCCTGGTTATTTTAAAGTACTTATTGTAGTTGCAGTACTCATTGTACAACTTGAAAATTGAGTTAAGTGTTTGAGTATTATGACGGAATGAGTAGACAAATACATCACCTGTAAGGTGATGTATTTGTCTTGCATTTAACATATGCTGGTCAATTTCGAGTTGTATAATCTGTCCTGGTTATTTTAAAGTACTTATTGTAGTTGCAGTACTCATTGTACAACTTGAAAATTGAGTTAAGTGTTTGAGTATTATGACGGAATGAGTAGACGTTACTTACCACATACTTTGCAGATATTATGTATCATTTTTTACCGCTTATGTTATGAGTCTAAGATAGTCTAAGATAATTCTATGAAATCGGCCATTGATGGTATAACGGGCCGGTCCCTCGTATGTCCAATATTGGATTTAACGAGAAATGGGAATGTATTGGAGTAAAGTAGAGAATACAATCACCAATCACATGAGTTCAAATTAATCAAAGGATCGAAACAGACAGCCAAAGGCTAATACAAAAAAAATAGTTAAACATACAAAAATACATACAGCCGAATTGATAACCTCCTCCTTTTTGGGAGGTCGGTTAAAAATCCCCTTATCTCTGCAAAAATACGTGGTACTAAGTAATATCTAATCATTTCGACACAGTTACTCGTCACTTTTCATTTCAATATGATATCCTACCATTTATATCTCAAGTCGTCCTTTTGTATCTTGGACGACACAGTTATAACGAATTGCACAAACCAAATAAATATCCATAAACGCTTATTACTTTATATCAATTGTAATCATCGTAACCTCACATCATGGCACCTTAACATATACTGATATAGCGCTGTACATGTACATACATAGTTATTATACATAGAGTGTGATAACACGCATGATAAGAAGTTCCGTCAGGCAGGTGACTCGACTCCTCGTTACAGGTTCCCCCGTCAACAAACAGAAGCTCGCCAACCAACTCCTGCGCAGCAAGGACGTCGCGGTCGCTGAGACGTCGCTCACTCGAGTAAGAGACGCGAGGGGACACCCATACACCCACTATAACTTTGAATCGCTTCCCGCGTGAACTTGTCTATAGCGAGAATGAACACGTACGTACTAACGAACAAAAGGATTTTTTCATATAGAAGCATAGCGATCACGGTGGACCATTATACAATAGTAAATAGTAACCCCAGTTAAACAGAAGTATAGCACTCATTATATTAGCTGTTTGAATGAATTTTAACTTTGAAACACCCGATCTTATACAACAAATCATTAATGACAATAAAATCGGGTATTTCAAGTGTTAGCTGAGATGCAATAGAGTACCCTTTGTCCCGCCATCGTTCGCCATGCCTTCACATAGATAAATAAATAAAAGATTGCAATTTGTTTAGTTCATTCTCGTTACAAGTTCCCGTACTAACGCATCGGTGTATTGTAAAGTGGGAGGTGGTGCGACCAGGATGCGTCTGGTAGACTCATCGAGCATTGTAGCACAGGATCCGGTCCTATAGTATTACAGTGTTGCTGATACCTCACCACTATCTGACATTTCTATGACTTAGACCGACTTGTTTAGATATCAAATTATATAAGGTAAGTACCAAAATTAAATTTTATTATTCGCCAAAGATTTTACTCTCATACGTTTTTGGTTAGAGTGATTTTTTTAGTCTGTCTACAGTCGCATAAATGTCGGCGCGGGAGTATGGTTCTCTTCCCATTAATATTGTTGAAAGCATTTATTGTATACGGCGGTAATTGTGATTTGGAACATTTTGTTTTACATAGATTGGCTGTTACAAACAAAGATTGTAAATTAATTGATTGTAGAAGCTGGTAGTTAGCAATAAAGTGTTGGAATCACACGTACCGCGGCAAGGGGTTGGTTTCTAACCAAAATGGTTTATGGGACACCCTTTTATGTTAAAGTATCACGAATATCATATTTTTTATTGTAATTTGCATGTATCGATCGTTATATTCCTAATTGTGTAACGGTAGCGATCATTCCTATTGAGTTCGAATTTAAAATTATTATTTTTTAACATTTTTTTATTTATTTTTGTATATTTATGATTTTCTGTCACTGCCTTCGTTTTTTTGCACACGCTAGAGTACTTATTATAAGAGCTTCAAGCTAGATACGTTTAGTTAGCAACATAGAGCCGAAGTAACTAAAGTTTATCAATAAATAGATAAATATGAGTTATTCCATCGTTACAAGTGTAATACAAGTGACAGACGCAATACATCCAGTACTTACACAACAGTACTTAATTCAACAAGGCAGTGCTATAGCAAATCTCTAACTAATGACTAAATAGAGAATAATATTTATTTATTTATTTAATTAGTACTACAGGCGTAACGTAAAAGGCAAGAGAGGTTTAGAACATTGTAAAACTTTTAGGTACGAATGTCAATTCTTGTATACAAAAATAGACATTGAAATTTATCAAAATTATTTAAATTATCAACTCGAATCCTAGTTACGCCTGAATTAAATAATTATATTATAACTAGCGCAAATCATAGCTGAATCAAGATAGGCGCAACGTATATTCCATTATTGTGAGAATTCATTTAATTGATATTTATTTGCACGCTTATCGTAGAATTAGTTAGGGACAGCCTGTATCTTAGATTAGTTTGTTTGTGTGAGAAATTGACGTTCCCTGTGAAAGTCTGAGGGCGTATATGTTGTGTGCAATGTTTATATACACATAGTAGCACTGATATTGAGATACAGAGTGTGGTTTTACTTATAGACTAGAGTTTTATATTACGACTTGCCAACATAGACACAATTTTGGCATTTTGATATCAGTGTACTCCAATGTTGTGTAGTCGTCAGTATTAATGTTTATGGATTATAACACCAGTGTTTTTACTAAAACTTTTTTAAAGATATTTTTATTTTTTTGTTTTATAAATTAAATAGGTTTATTAAAAACTTTTTTCATAGAAAGAAGTTACAGATCATTACTAATCATTAATAGGATGTATCGGGTTCGTTAATGATTACGTTCAATTTCTCCGCATTACAACGTAGGCTTCTTGTAAACACATTGTATTGTATTTTTGTATTCTTCTCGTAAATTCTGACTAACAAAGGGAAATGATGAAGTACTAATGGTATGAGCTGACGCTTGGTGTTGGTCGACTTGCTCCTTCAGTAATATACAGTATGTGGCACGGACTTAAACAATAAATGAACTATAATGTAGTATTATTACACAGAAGTATAACACGACCAAAGATTTAGACGAAAACCTTAAATTAAAAAAGTGAAATTTTCAAACAAAACAAATAATAAAATAGATTCAAGAAAGTATAACACTCTGTGTAACAACGTACCTTGACCTCAGAAGAGCGGCAACGTCGCATACGTTATGGAAGGCACGGGTGACGCGGCTTGGTAGTAACACTGCAGTGACGGGGCTCATTCACTCTTTGAACTCGTGAACCATTGGACGATAACGGAACGTACGCCCTGCTTGCCTAAGACTGCAGGTTGGGTTATTGCGGAAATAGGCTAAAACCCTTTGTTCCAAGATCGATGAAGTTTGCCGACCAGCAAAGCTCCATCATGGGTATTGGGCACTATGGGCAGATTTTCTCTAAGCCTTTGTACAAACATCAATCGAACAGTGACGAGATGCGCCATACCTCCCCCGATAAGTTCGCAGAGCCGACGCTAACGATGACATTCACCATGTAATAATATCGCGGCATTTCGGCACAACACACAGACACACGTAAACACACAATTAAAAGTTAAATAAATAAAATAAAATACACAGTTAACAAAAGTACAAATGTCAGTGTCCGGTTCACAGTAAAGAAAACTAGGTAATAATTAAAAAAACTAAGAACTAAAATAATAATTAATTACAAAAAACAACAACAATCGTTTAGCACAACGCGCGCGTAACCCGTCGGAAATTAGCGAAAAGCACACACACTATCCCGGAAGTCTAGCAGTGAACTGATGAACAAATTTTATTTTCTAACTCATTCGATCACAAACGCGGCGTACTGAAAGGGAAACTACCCCTTTCACGATGCCGCCGCAAGCGGCGGTATCTTTGACAAAAGCCGTCAAAAGAAACCGACCGCTGGTGCGGCTATTACATACACGGCACTGCTGATGTACTTACACCTATTTATTAGTGGTACGGTAACTTCAACTTTATCGTATTGACATAAAGTCGAAAATCCAATTAATAAATTTGTCAGATGTGTACGTTGATCTGCTGGCCACTGTACCTATTAGTTTTGTTTTCCGATGTAGGTACTTAATAGGTATCTTTGAAGAATAAATTAAATTATTAAATTAATATTTGATAACGGTTAACTACCCGACATTTGGTTGCAATAATGTTATGAACAAGGGTATTACAACTGTGACTACCTACCTACTTCATTATTTACTGACAAGTGCGTGTCAACGAGACGATATTCGCATCTTCTCTTTCTTACATGTTATAATCGGCTTAGAAATACGTACGGTAAATAAATACGTACTTTCGTACTTTTCGACGAATTTCTTAACTT